AAAAGGCAGGGGAGAGTGGGGTCTTTGGGAAACTGGGAGGGGGCTGGAGGGTACTAGGAGAGATGACAGAGGATGTTGGCTTGGATGGCGGTGAAGACTGGGAAGGTGCCTCAGACCAGAGTTGAGAGAAACACTGAGAGGGCTTTCTCCAGGGACATCAGGAAGGAATATAAGGGAGGAGATGCCTGGGATGAGGGATGAGGGGAACTGGGAGTATGGGAAGCTGTCTAAAGGAGTAAGATAGGGGCAGGGACTGGCCAGAGAAAGATGAGAAATGAACAGAGGGTTCTTGTGGGAGGTGGTGGCCAAGCAGGGTGATTAGAGAGCCAGGGGAGTGTGGATTCTGATCTGGGAGCTGAGTTAGCAGTGGAGGGTCCATCCGAGGAAACAGTGGATGTGAATATGAAGGGTGGATGTCCAGAGGTATGATTCAGGGTGTAGGGGTGATTGGAGGACCAGCTTTAGAGACTTAGAGGGTAGCCTGTGGGACCAGAGAGGTGGTGAGAGCTGTGCCCAGAAGCTGTTGGAGGGTGTGGTGAGGCAGGGCTAGAACTGGAGTCGGGGTTAACCAGGGTTTTGAGGGACCTGGGGGCAAGAGAGAGTGTGGAGAGATGGCTGGGTAGAGAGATTCCAGGCCACAAAGTTGAGGCGTCTAGGGGAGGACATGGGAACGTTAAAGGGTGGTTTGGGGAGTCAAAGTTTTAGGCATTGGGGGGCATTTGACTGATTCACTAAGAGTCACCAGTCTTAAGCGAAGGTGTGGGGTCTGTTGGATAAATTGGGGAAACTGGAACCAATAAGAGTGGGGCCTGTTGTGAGGATGAAGAACGAGGACAATGGGTGGGGTAATGAAGAAATGACAGATGGAGACAGGTTGAGGAGACCGGTGGCCAGCAAGCTGAGGGGCAACAAGAGTGGCCAGAGTCTGGAGTAGGAAGGGTGCAGAGAGAGGGGAGTGGGATGGAATTGGGAAAATGAGCAGTGTGTAGGGCCACAGGGAGCTAGAATTGATGGCTTGTGGAACTAGGGCTGGGGACTAGTGGGGTGGGGATGGTTCCCGTAGGGGTGGAGGAGATTGGAGGGTTGGAGAGGGGATGTTGGGGATGAGGCTTAGGGAGAGGTAATGGCTAAAGGGAAGAGGGAAGTGAGAGAGGTTGAGTTGGGGGGGGGCGATGGAAAGAGATGAAATGTGGGGGGAGGTGACCAGGCCCTCTGGGGGGTGGGGAGGTTGGGTCCCAGTCTGGCCGCAAGCCTGGCCGTGGGAGGGAGACAAGCTGTGGATCCTGATTATAAATGCAGCTTCTGCTACCCCCGTGACAGGCAGGGAGGGAGGGAAGGGGGTGAGGGAGGTGGGAGGTTGGGAGGAAAGCAGAGAGAATGGAGGAACTGAAGGTCAAGGGGAAAGTGGATTCAGGGAGTAGCAGACTCCTGAGGGGCTGCGGGAAGAGCTGAGTAGGGTTTGGGAGAATTCCCTGGAGGGTGTTTCAAAAGAAATGGAGGGAGAAAAGAGGAGGGTGGGACGGGAGGGAGGGAGAAAGACTTGGAGAGAGAAGGCAAAGAGAGATCGACTCACCCAGAGACACTTAAAGAGTGTGGAGGGGCAGAAGGTGGGCAGGCCGGGTGGAAAGGGAGGTTCATCCTTCCTTGGTGGGGGAGGGAAAGAGGAGGGTCGGCCTGGGCCAGTGAGGTCTGACACACCCCCGCATCCCCTAGATACACCCCCTTCTGATCCGGGACCGGAGGAGCGAGTCCAGCCGCAACAAACTGCTGAGACGCACAGTCTCCGTGCCGGTGGAGGGGCGGCCCCACGGCGAGCATGGTACGGCGGCCGAGCAGGCTCTCGTGCCCCGGACAGTGGCGGGGAGAGGGCTGAAGGTGGACCGGGCTGCAGGGAGGGGGGAGTCGGGGACCTGAGGGAGCTGTCAGGGGGTGGGAGGAGGCGGAGACAAAGTCTCACCTCCTGCGTGTGGGAGCCTGGAGGAGAAGCGCCCTCCTCTGGGATCTGGAGCGCGACAGGGGCTGTGGGTGAGAGGCCCCAGTGGTCCTGGCTCTGTTTCGCTCCCTTTTTCCTCTCCAGCAGCGAAGTTTGACTGTTTTCCTGGTGCTTGTAAAAATAGTCTCTTTAGATCTTTAGCTTCCTGTCCGAGTGTTCCTGCCCCTGCCCCTCCCAGCCGTTGGTCTGGGATCTTGGAGAGAATGACCTAGTTCCTGCCCTCCCTCCAGACCTCTGCCCCACCCCCAAGCTCCTGATTCTTCTTCCAGACCTTCTGTTCTGTGGGCCCTCCCTCATTTCTTGCCCCTTTTTTCCTCTTCTTTTCAACTGCTTCTATTTTCTGCAATTCTGTCACCCCCTTTCTCTTTCTTCCCCGATTTCTCTTATTTTCTCTACCCCTCTTGATTCCTCTGTCTCTCCCCACCGCTCCCGGTGGAACTCCATCAGACCCCCATCTCATCTCCTTTCTGTCTGTAGAGCTATCTGCTCAGTCTGTCTCCAACTCTCTCCCTCTCTCCATCTGTCTCTTCCTCTCCCTCCCTCTTTCTGCCCCCCCTCCACCCCCCTCTTTAGTCATTTAAAAAAAGATTTTTGTCTTCCTGAGAAGTTCGCTTAAAAGGTTTCCATGGGAACAGTGAGGGGAGATGAAGGCAGAGAACAGTGATCTGCAGCCAAGGTGCAGAGAGACGCCCTCAGCCCCCGGAAACCCCCTAGTCACTGCCCCCTATTACCGCATTCCCCTTCCAGGACCAGGGATCTAGGTCCTCTATCCCCTCAAACCCTGGTGACCCCTTTCTTCCACCAGCTCCCCTTCCCCTCAGGGATCCAGGCTTCCAGTTTCTCTTCCTTAGAACCAGTGGCCTGTCTCCGTCCCTTGGCTCCCATCAGCCCTCTTCTGATAAGCCCAGGCCTCACTGCCCTTGGGGACCAGCTCTGGGACCCTGGGTGGGTGGCCAGGGATGTGTGTCATTGTCATGGAAACCTCTGACCATGGGGGTGTGTGGGTAGTACATCTCTGTGAGGCAAAGCCAGGTGGTGGTGGTGGTGGTGGTAGTGGTGGTGGAGTGTGTGTAGAGAATGTGATGTCTGTCACATCTGTGTGTGTGTGTGTGTGTGTGTGTGTGTGTGTGTGAGTCATGCCATGTCTGGGAAAGGTTTGTGTGCACGTGTGCATACCTGTGTGTCCAGGCCAGAATGGTCACATGCTCATGGAGCATGTTTATCATATGTCCCGTGGTTGGTGTCTCTGCCCACATTTCCCCATCTTCTTCCTTACCCTAAGTCCTCAGGGTCTGGGGTCTTTGATGTCGGTCTCCTGTGTGCTTTGGGTGGGGGGACTCGTGTGCGTTTGGAGTTGGGGATGGTATGTGTAGGTGGTTGTGTTGAGGGTTCAGTAGGGGTTGGGAGGGGGTCCAGGGGTATAGATGTTTTGGGAGAGGGTTAGTGAAAGAGTTGATAGCTGGGGAACGTTTGGCGTTTTTAGGGGCACATGGAATGTGTAAAGGGTCTGGAGGATGTGCAGGGGACACTGGGGTCTTTGGGGCCTTGCGAAGACGTGTGCTGAGGCTGTGAATGCCCGAGCCCAGGAGAGGTCGCCGGACCTTTGAGGAGTATTAGAATCCAGGGCTCCTCCTCTGCTGGGTGGAGCCGCCACCCCTTGTTCCCTCCGCGGTTTTGGTGGGGGGTCCTGCTCAGGCGGGGATGGTGGGAGGCCCGGTTGGTTTTGGGGGTCCCCTCGCCCCCCTCCCCCGTCTCTCTCGCGCTGTCTCCGGGCGACGGGGCTCGTGACAGAGGCGGCCACGGCAGCAGCGGTCGCCTAGCAACGGCGGCGGGGCCCGGGCAACGGCGGCAGCGGCGGGAGCGGCGGCGGAGGGAGCCGTTCCCGCGGCCGTCACCGCGCGGCCGTCCCGGCCGTCCCGGGCCCCGCCGCCGCCCCCATCGCTCCGGGCGGCGCGAGCCGGGCCGCACCGCCCCCTCTCCCGCCGCACCCCGCCCCTCCCCCGCGCAGGGGCGGGGCCCCTCCCCCACCGGGGACACCCCCGACCCCCCCCCCGGGGGGCGGTGCAAGGTAAGGGCGGGGCCGGGCGGACGAGGAGCGCGCGCGTGTGGGGAGGGGGGCGCCGCGCGCGTGGGGACGGGGGCGCGCGTGTGCGTGGGTGCGGGGAGGGGGGTGGGGAAGCCGCGGCGGCGGCGGCAGCTGCTCCCTCCGCATGTTCTCGCTGCATCTTCCGAGTGGGGGGAGTTATGGTAACTGGAGGGGGGGCAGCGGAGGTGGGGTGGGGGGGGTCTCGGGGACCGGCTTCATGGAGGCCAGGGTCGCTAGCGTGCGCGGGGGCGGCTGGTGTGGGGTGGTCTTGAAGACCCTCAGTGGAGACGGCAGCCCGTGTGTCCGCGTGTGTGTTCGTGTTCATGCTCGTGTCCCGTATGTCTGTGCCATGTGCACACGGGGGCCCAGTTCCTCGTGCACACAGGTGCAGCCAGCCGTGTGCAAGCCTGTCCTGTCTTATCCTGCCTCTGCCCGGTTCCTGCCTAGAGGGCTGCTGGCCCAGCCACTGTCTTGTGAGCAGTCCCTGGCCATACTGATATATGTCACCTCTGACCCTAAGCATGCATGCCCCTGGCTAGGGCTCACCTCCTGTCAGTCTCCTGTGTGTGGGAATGTGTGGCTGCATGAGCAGGATTTTCTGTGTCCCTGGTGGCAGGTGTGTGTCTTTGCATGTGTGTTCCATCTTTGGCCTGGGTATCTGTGTCAATCCCAGCATGGGTGTCCAGGGTGTGTCTGGATGTGGGTGGTGTGCAGGTGGGGGGAAGGAGTAAATGTGTGTGAGTGTGTTCCTTGGAATCCTACCGTATATAAAACACCTTTGGGCTACACAGGTGTGAACCCCTGCTCAGTCGGGGAGTGGGGACAGAAAAGCTGAAAAGGGAAAGAGCGGATAAAGAGGAAAAGTCCGGGGAAAGGAGGAGAGGAGGAATGAGAGAGGCTTGGAGAGGAGAGGAGAGAGAGCCAGGGAGGAAGAATAGCTGGAGAATGAGAATGTGGGAGATAGTTGAGCCAGATTTAGAAGAGAGAAAAGAGGATAAGAGAGCTTAAGATGGAGAACTGGATGGAGGTGCTGGGAGAAGGGGCCTGGGAGCTGGGGAGGCCGGAGGAGGACGGTCAGGCCTTTCGGGGAAAGTGATCTCTGAGAGAAGAAAAGGGCGAGAATGGGAGAGGCACCGGGTTCATAGAGGCCCTGTAAGATCAAGCTTGATTGGATCAGGGGAGGCCACTCAGGCATAGAGGCTGGCTCACAGTGAGGCCTGTCACGGCAGAAACTGTCATTAGAGGTTCCTGTCTCCAGCACAGAGTTTTGCCCCCATTTCTCTGTCCAACTCTGTTCCTCATCCTGCTCTGGCTACCTCCCTCCTCTGGCTCTCCTTGAGAGCTGCCAGCTGGGTGTGACAAGAAAGAAAGGCCGAAGGGAAGGTTAGGATTTGGGGAATTGGAGAGCAGAGCAAGATTCTGTGGGTGAGGGCAAGATTAGAGAGGTTGGAGAGGCGGGAGTCCAAGCCCTTGCTGTGTGTGTGTGAGTGCAATTGTGTGTGTACACAGGGTGTGTACATGTGTGGGTGTATGCACAATGCCTGTGTTACGGGTCTGTGTAGGTGGCTGTTATGTGTGTGCATGCGTGTATACATCATGCAGGGATGGGACATGGAGACCCAGGATCGCACTGTATCCTTATCAGGTTGGCTCTGTGTGTACACAGTGTGTGCTGTGTTTTCTGTATGTGTCGCTGCATGAAGCACTAATAAGGAGATGTCTTGTGTTTCTGTCACTCTGCCCCCTTTTCCTATGTGTCTCTGCTATTCTTTTCTTTGCAGCATTGAGAATCTTTGTAAGTATGTGTGTATGTGACTTATGTGTGAGTTCATGGATCTTAGTTTCTGGCGATATGTATAAGGTTATATTACTTCCAAGAATCAAGCAAACCAATTAGCAAATCCGTTCTCTTTTTGTGAATTCTGTAGTTCCAAAGCAAAATTTTAGTGGATTTAAAGTTAGACTTCATGTCTTTCTTAGAGGAGCTAGCATATGAAAATAATGGCTGAGCTAGGTTCCCTGGAGTGAGAGTGAGGCAGCCATACCTGAGAAATGCAGAGACTAGGAAAAAGATAGCCTGCACCCTTTGAAGCACGGTTGAGTGTGTAACAGAAGGATAAGTAATGCCTTTGCTTCTTGGTTTTTTGTTATTCTGGTAGCAGTCACGGAGTCAGGGAAGGGCTGGGGGAGAAAAAGGGGTTGTCCTGAGACAGAGCGGATGTGGTTGTACTTTTCCTGTGAATGAAGGATGTTCGCGCTTTTGGGATATGGGGACACCTCGATGTCATCAGATCCATGGTGTACTCAAGCATGTATCTTAGAAGTTAAACTGGCTTCCCCTGTGTGGGGGCCATGTGTATGTCTCAGGGTTAAATGTCCATCTCTGCAGTGTGCTGCCCACATGATTCCCCGGGGGACTCGGGCCACGCATCCACACCAGCAGCTCTCGTGGGTGCGGGGTTCAAGTATGTACTCTCCTGTTGCAGTGCTCACATATGTCTAAGCATGTATCCCGTGGGGTCTGTGAGCCTCAGGGTCTCAGAATGTGGATCCGTGGCGCCCCAATGCTCACAGTTGTCTGTGTGTCTCATAAGCACCTAGATCCCCATTTATTTTTGTATTGTGGTTCTCACATGTGTACCCCCACAGCTCAGTGTATGTTTCTGTGCTCTACACATGTGTTCCCGAGGGACTGACAAGGGTTCTTGTGTCATGGGATCCACATTTTTGTGTGCAGACCTCCTAACACCTGGGTTTTAGAGGCAGAGGGAAGCTGGGGACTGATTCTAGGGAAGTTTGCGGGAGATTTGCAATTCTGGAAGCAAACAGTGAAAATGTAGCTGTGGCTCTTCCTTGTTCTGGAACCTAGAGGGTTAACAGGCAGCTCTTCCGGTCCACCCGCCCCCCAAGCCTGTAGCTTCTTGTTGCCGTGGAGATGGTAGCCCCGCCCCTGATGCAGTACCTGCCCCCCCATTGGCTGCAGTGGTGACTGTGGGGCTGAGGGGGGAGCCCAGGCCTGGGCAGCCATTCTGGAGCTGGAGCCGGAGCTTGGCATCCCCCCACTTTCATTCTCCTCTAGCCCCTCGGCCCCTCTAAATTCCCTGGCAGCACAGCCTCAGCTTCCCACCTCGGAGCTGCCACCCCTCTAGACTCTTGGCAGTCTGAGCTTCATCCGCATTCACCTCCCCCCCACCCTCACTTGGGAGTCCCCGAGCCTCCACTGCCCATCCTCCCCACTCCCCTGCATTCTTCTTTTTTCCCTTTCCCCCCCTTCCCTTCTGAGTCCCTGCCACTGCAGTGCACGTGGAACCCACCCTTCCTCCCCTCCCCCCATCTGCCCCTTCCTTGAATTTTCTGTCCCCAGGCTTCTTCCCCTGCTACTCCTCACAGGTCCCTTCCAAGACTTCCCCCTCCAGTCCAGGGAGGGGGTCATGGGAGGCAGCCCTGGCCCTCCAGACAGACAGGGATTCCAGGAAGGGAGAGCAGGTGGAAGATGTGCCCAGCTAAGAGAAGAGGAAAGCCTGCTTATGGGCAATGACCTTTAACCCAACTCCCCCCCCCCCCCCAGCTGGCCCCTTCCTGGGGGGGTGAGCACCAAGGACCTAGCTTCTGTGGACTTTTGGTATCCTTTATTACTGGGGTTTTACTGACCCTCTCAGCCATGCCCCTCTGCTGACTGCCAGTCCCAGTCATGGGCCTAAGGCCTCCCACCCCGTCCCCCTCCGGGGGCTCCGGCTCGGGTTCCTTGCCCCCTCCTTCCCGCCGCCAGCCTCTCAGCCGCCGCTGCTCTTCCTGCTGCTTTCCGGGGGGTAGGTGAGGCTGGAGCTGAGGGGCAGAGGGAGGTGGGCAAATGTACTGGGGCCATGGGTGGAGACCCAGACTAACAGCGACCCCTCCCCACTTCCCTCTGGCCCTTTCCTCTCCTCCAGAATACCACTTGGGTCGCTCGAGGAGGAAGAGCGTCCCAGGGGGGAAGCAGTACAGCATGGAGGCCGCCCCCGCTGCACCCTTCCGGCCCTCGGTGAGTGAGTGAAGGTGCCTGCCAGATGTGGCTCAGCTGGGCCCCCTCCCCTCCAGCCCCAGCTGGAGCCTCAGGATTCTGAGAAAGGGGGCAGGAGGGGGAAAAGAGAGAGAGAATGTGTGTGTCTCCCCACCTCTTTGGTTTTCCCCTTCTTGGCTCTGCCCCCCTGCCTCTCAGACCAGCCCTCCCACCTTCTCCAAGCTGGTGTGTGTGTTTGTGTGTGTGCTTGCACCCGTGGGAGCAAAGGAAGACAAAGTGGTAGCAGGGCTTCTATCCCCCTTTCCTCGCCTCTAGAGACTTCCCTTTCTCCCCGTCCCACCTTCATCCAGGGACTCTTTACCAGCTGAGGGGTGAGTAGGTAGCATTGACCCTGCCCCAAATCACCCCTACCCCCATTGTCACCCCCAGCAAGGCTTCTTGAGCCGGAGGCTAAAAAGCTCCATCAAACGCACGAAGTCACAACCCAAACTTGACCGGACCAGCAGCTTTCGCCAGATCCTGCCTCGCTTCCGAAGTGCTGACCATGACCGGTACAGGGGCTGGAGCGGGTGGGATGAGTTGGATGCCATATAGTGGGCTCTGGATTGAGATTGGAGGGATGGGGGTTACCTGAGTACAGAGGTTGAGGGCCTCAGATTGGTCGAGGGATGTTATAAGGCATGGGACAGAACAGAGAAGAGGAAGCAAGAGAGGGGCAGGGAGCAGCGAGAGGATGAGCAGAGAGTCAGGAAAGAGAGTGAAGGTGAAGCCAAGGAGGGAGTCTCCTGGCCGACAGAAGGATGGGCTCCAGCCCAGGACTGAAGGAGCTGCACAGAAAGGCAGAGGAGTGACAGAGCCTGGGAGGGGCATTTAAGGATCCAGGGAAGGGAGGAGAGAGAGCGGTGTGATCTAGGCAGACGGGTGTGAGGGAAGGGACAGCATAGAGCATGACAGAGAAAGGGGAGGCCGGCACAGGTATACAGGTTGACAGAATAGGGAGAGGCTGTGGTTAATCCGTGGCCTGAAGCACTAGGAAGAAGCCCTTGGAGAAGTCCAGAGGGCACTGTCTCTGAGCCGGGGTTGCAGGAGGCTCATGTTTGCTTCTGTTGTCTGCTTCTTGGGGTCCCTCTTTGCATTTCCCCCTCACCCAATCTCTCCCCAGGGAGAATCCTGTCCTTCCTTTCCCCCATGTCTGGCCGCCCCCAGGATTGGGCAGGTAGGGAGGTTGGGATAGGTGAGTCACACCTTCCCCAGCCCCCCTCCCATGTCACCAGAGCTGGATTTGGGGCCGGCGGGGGGTGAGGGCATGGTATTCCTGGCCGCGGGGGCGGGGGGCCGGGGGAGCGTCGCGCTGACGCCCGAGATGACGGGGCTGCTATAAATAGCTTCTTGGAGGCTCCCACACCCGAGCTCCCCCTCCCGCTTCCCTACGGCTCTCCACTCTTCATCCCCAGGCCATCTCCATCGCCCTCACTCTCCTGTGCCTCCTGTTCCGTGCCCCCATCCTCCATTCCCCTCAGCTCCTTTCCTTCTGCCTTCCCGCAGTGATTGTCCGGGTTTCATCCCCTCTGTTCCCCATCTCTCTTCTTACGTCCATCTCTCCAGTTGCCCCTCCTCATCTTCTCCATCCTCTGTCTCTCTGCACATGTCCTTGCCTCCCTCTTTCCTGCTTCTTGTCCTATCTCCTCTTTTTCCCCAGTCCCCATTTTCAGTTTCTCATCTTCATTTTCCTTTTCTGCCCACAGCTTTCTCCTATTTCTTGTGATTTTCTCTCACTTTTCCCCTTGATTCTGCTAAAACTTGTCCTCTTACCTCATTCATTCATTCTTTGAATCACTAAATGTTTTTTAGCCACTAGCTGTGTGCCAGGCCCAGACAGACATCTTTGTGCTTCTGTTTTTTTACTTGCACTTTTTTTTTCCCTTGTATTGAGGCTCTGGTTTTGGGGGGTCACCTAGAAGTCCCACCTGGAAGTGTCCCAGGCCCACTTGTTCCCTTTTTTTTTCTGCCATGGTCCATTTCTGGGTTGAGATATTTCTAGGTGTCCCTAGTCCTCACAACCCCTTAAGTGTGAACTGGAGGGAGGGGGTTTCTTAAGTTTCTGATTTCTCTTACATTCCTCATGTCCTTCCCCAGGATAGGCTGGATTTCTTTCTGTCTGTGTCCGTGTGGGATGGGGGTTCAGGAGGCCCTTTCCCCAAGTCTCCGTCCTACAGCCAGACTGATGATGCAGGCCCCTGGGTGTGTAAGCAGAGTGGGGCCCTGATCCTCTCTCCTGAACCTCCCGCCTGCCAGGGCCCGGCTGATGCAGAGCTTTAAGGAGTCGCACTCTCATGAGTCCTTGCTGAGTCCTAGCAGTGCGGCTGAGGCCTTGGAGCTCAACTTGGATGAAGATTCCATCATCAAGCCAGTGCATAGCTCCATCCTGGGCCAGGAGTTCTGTTTTGAGGTACTGGATCTAGTGACCTGGGAAAGGCTGAAGGGCTGGGGTGAGGGAAGGTGAGGGCAGAGGGGCCTGGAGAAATCGGCACAGGTGGGAATGTCAAGAGAACAGAAACCTTTGGGGCTGGGAGAAAGGAGGATAGGCCAGGGAGGAGGAGATGGTGGTGGGGTCTCCAGTACTTAGGAGTCAGCTCCCCTCTGCGGCCCCGTCTCAACTCCACACCCCTCTCTAGGTAACAACGTCATCAGGAACAAAATGTTTTGCCTGTCGTTCTGCGGCCGAAAGGGACAAATGGATCGAGAATCTACAACGGGCAGTAAAACCCAACAAGGTATTGGGAGTAAAGGGGACATAGACAGCATGGGCAAGGCAAAGGTCAAGCCACAGTGGAAGCTGAGAGCCTGGAGAGGAAGAGGAATTAAAGGAAGGGAGACTTGGGGGAAGAGCCGACAAGGTGGAGGGGACCTGGATGAGCAGGAGGTGACCTCCATTTTTTCTGAGTCCGTTGTTTCTTTCCACCTCATGATCTGTTTCTCTACCATAGAAATCACAGACTACAGGGTTGATGGGGCTCTGCAAGTCCTCTGGCCCATCTTCCCTGCGGGCAGAAATGCCCCACTAAGAACCTGACAGGCGGCCGCCCAGCCCCCGCTTGCAGCGTTTCTGCAGGCCACATGAGTTGTTGGCTGGCCCAGCCTCCAGACCTCGGTTTCCTCTCTGTAAAACTGGCGGGAGTCAGGTTGGAAGAGATGCTCTCTACAGTGTCTTTGGCTCAGAAATTCTGTGAGTCTGTGTCCTTCCCAAGGCTTCTGTTTCCCAGGAGAAATGCTCCTAGTTCTGTGAGTTCTTCTCTGTATCCCAGTTTCCAGTGAGCTCACAGTCCTGGTGACCCTCCTTTGGGGGACCCCTTGTTTCTCAGTGTCTTTCTTAAAGAACTAGACCCAAGACGCTGGATGCGATCTAACTCATGCACCTTGCTCCAGACACCAAACACCATGCCCCTTTTGCATTGCAGCGTCATCAGAGTCTCACCATGAGCTTGTGGTCAGTAGTATCCCCTCAGGCCCTTTTCATACTGACTATATAGCCTCACTCATCCTGTATTTATGCAGTTCACTTCTGATTGTCTTTGAAGGAGTCCCCCCCGTCCCCTTCAAATTCCACCTTAATATTTTTGGTTTGTTTTTCTAGCTTTTAAAATCTTTCCCAGTACTGCTTCTGTTGTCTGATGTATGAGCTACCCTTCTGTAGTAGTTTCCTGGGGCTGCTGTAACAAATTACAAAAAACTGGGTTGCTTAAAACAACAGAACTGTATTCTCTCACAGTTCAGGAGACTCCAAGTCCAAAACCAAGGTGTTGGCAGGGCTTTGCTCCCTCCGAAGCTCTAGGAGAATCCTTTCTTGCCTCTTGATAGCTTCTGATGGTTGCCAGCAGTCTTTGGCATTCCTTGACCTGTAGCTGCATCTGTCCAGTTTCTGCCTCCCCCTTCACATGGCCACCTTCCGTCTGTGTGTCTCTGTCTCCAAACCTCCCTCTCCATAGACACCAGTCATTGGATTTGGGGCCCACTCGAATCCAATATGAGCACATCCTAATATAGGTATATCTGCAAGGACCCTATTTCTAAGTAAGGTCACATTCAGAGGTTCCAAGTGGACATGAATTTTGGGGGTACTCTATTCAATCCAGTACACACCTTCTCAGCCTTATGATTGCTGTCTCATAGACTGTCTCACTTTCTCACTGGCTCTCCTCTTTTGGTGTCTCTGTCTCTCTGTCCCTTCCCCTTTATCCGCTGTGCTCACCCCACCATGCCAGGACAACAGCCGCCGGGTGGACAATGTGTTGAAGCTGTGGATCATAGAGGCCCGGGAGTTGCCCCCTAAGAAGCGGTACTACTGTGAGCTCTGCCTGGACGACATGCTGTATGCCCGCACCACCTCCAAGCCCCGCTCAGCCTCAGGGGACACCGTCTTCTGGGGCGAGCACTTTGAGTTTAACAACCTGCCAGCGGTCCGTGCCCTGCGGCTGCATCTCTACCGTGACTCAGACAAAAAGCGCAAGAAGGACAAGGCGGGCTATGTCGGCCTGGTGACTGTGCCCGTGGCCACCCTAGCTGGGCGCCACTTCACAGAGCAGTGGTACCCTGTAACCCTGCCAACAGGCAGCGGGGGCTCCGGGGGCATGGGGGGCTCAGGAGGGGGAGGGGGCTCAGGGGGTGGCTCAGGGGGCAAGGGCAAAGGAGGTTGCCCAGCTGTGCGGCTGAAAGCACGTTACCAGACAATGAGTATCCTGCCCATGGAGCTGTATAAGGAGTTTGCAGAGTATGTCACCAACCATTATCGGATGCTGTGTGCAGTATTGGAGCCTGCCCTGAATGTCAAGGGCAAGGAGGAGGTTGCCAGTGCACTGGTTCACATCCTGCAGAGTACGGGCAAGGCCAAGGTGAGTGCTGTGCCTTCAGGAAAAGGCGACCTGGGAGTGGGCACTTGCGTGAGGGGACAGTGAACATAGGGCACTTCTGTCTTCATGAGCTTGGGTTGTACAGAGGCTGACCCTTGGATTTTCCTCGGCCCCAGGACTTCCTTTCGGACATGGCCATGTCTGAGGTGGACCGGTTCATGGAACGGGAGCACCTCATATTCCGCGAGAACACGCTCGCCACTAAAGCCATAGAAGAGTACATGAGACTGATTGGTCAGAAATACCTCAAGGATGCCATTGGTAATGGCCCACCCTCAGGTCCTCTTCTTCGCAAACCTACCAGAGATCCACCCCAACCCTAAACCCGGCTAGTCCAGACCCCAGATCCACCTTCCTCAGCTTGATGCTTCCAAGCCCAGAGTCCCCGGACTCAGCCTCCAACCGCATGATTCCAAGATTCCCCCAGCCCAGGCAGTCCCTGTCCCTGCCCTTGGAAAGTGTGACGATACCCGGTTTTGCCCCCACCCCGACTCCCCAGGGGAATTCATCCGTGCTCTGTATGAGTCTGAGGAGAACTGTGAGGTGGACCCCATCAAGTGCACGGCGTCCAGTCTGGCAGAGCACCAGGCCAACCTGCGAATGTGCTGTGAGTTGGCCCTGTGCAAGGTGGTCAACTCCCATTGGTGAGACTGGGAGCGCTGGGTTGGGGGGCCGGGGTCGGGGGAGTCGTGTGTTCATCTGTTCATCCATCTGTCCATCCTCAAAGAGGACTGAGTACCAGTTATGGGCAAAGCATTGTGCTGGGTGCTGTAGAGCAGACAGAAGAATGAGGCCTCGTCCCTGCCCTCAAAGGGCCTCCACTAGAATGAGGGACAAATTAGATGTACAAAAAGCCACAGAACAGTTGTAGTATGTGTTAAATGTCAAGGGAGGGTCCTCCAATACAACATAAGGTCAGAGAAGGCAGAGCTTTGATTGTGATAAGCAGGGAAGTCTTTGTGGAGGAGGTGCCCCTGGGCTGGGCTGTGAAGACTGGGTCAGGTTCTGATACATGGATATGGTGGGCAAAGAAGACATTCCAGGAGAAGGCTGTGGGACACACACATGCATAGAGGTGAGAAGGCCTAGGAGCTTTCAGGGGACAGCAGTTAGAACAGGTTTAACAGAGCACATGGCTCAGAATGGAGAGTGGAGGGAGAGATGTCTGGACAGGAGGATTAGAATGGGAATCTGGAGGGCCTCAGCTGCCAGGTTCAGGAGTCTGAGTTCATTGTTAGGTCATGGGATGCCACTATGGTGCTGGTGCCAAGAGGTATCATGATTGAGAAGATGAATTCTTAAGTAGAGTGGGGGGTGGGGGTTGACGAGTCGGGAGAATGAAGTCCAGGCTAGTTGGAAGCTCTTGTTCGTGGGTCAGGCATGGAAGTCAGATCCTGAATCAGGATGGTGACAGGAAAGTAGAGAAGGGGCTACTGTAAGGAGCCACTGAGGAAGAGCTTTTTCACCTGACTGCGGGAGCTGAGGTCATGAGGCTGGTGTTTAGGAGACCTGTGGCCTCAGTGACAGAACCAGGGAAGTCAGGAGGAGGAGCCAGTTGGAGGTGTGGGGGCGATGGTGAGCTCCGCCTTACTCCAGTCAGAGTTTCCGGTGTCAATGGAACACTGAAGTGGAATGGGGAGGTGGGGAGAGTGAGCTCTGAGCCATTCCAAGGACTGGGGATCATGCCGGGGGCACCTCCATCCCCATTTCCCTGGAATCCAGAAGAGTTGGGGGGTCCGAGCTCCCTGTACCTCAAGTGACCCACCATCTCTCTCCCATCTCTGTCTCTCCCTGGTGTCTGTTTCTCTTCTCCTCCTCTCCTTGTCTCTCTCACACACCCTCCGTCTCTCTCCCGCGTGTCTCTCTCCCGTCCCCTTCTCTCCCCCTCCATTTCTCTCTCCCTAATCTGTCTGTTTCCTCTGCCATAGCCCTATCCTTCCAGCAGCCTCCTGTCTTCCTGCAGTCCCTCCCTCCCTGTCTCTCTCACCTGTTTCTACACCCTCACCTCCTGCCACCCCCCTCAGCATGTTCCCTGGAAGCTGAGGGTCTCTGGGGCTCAGTCCCGGTCTCTCTCTTTCTTTCTCTCTCTCTCTGTCTCCCCACCCCTTCCCCCCAGCGTGTTCCCGAGGGAGCTGAAGGAGGTGTTTGCATCTTGGCGACTGCGCTGCGCAGAGCGGGGCCGGGAGGACATCGCTGACAGGCTGATCAGCGCCTCACTCTTCCTGCGCTTCCTCTGCCCAGCCATTATGTCGCCCAGTCTCTTTGGGCTCATGCAGGAGTACCCAGATGAGCAGACCTCACGAACCCTCACCCTCATCGCCAAGGTCATCCAGAACCTGGCCAACTTTTCCAAGTGAGGGAAGCTTCAGGGCTGGGGGTGGGCAGGAAGGGTCTCCTGAGTCCTCAGAGACCCTAAGACCGGGGTGGGTGTGAGGCCTTCTGCGTGTGTGACCTCTGCCTTCTGGATGCCTTGGCCAGGTTTACCTCAAAGGAGGACTTTCTGGGATTCATGAATGAGTTTCTGGAGCTGGAGTGGGGTTCCATGCAGCAGTTCCTGTACGAGATCTCCAACCTGGACACGCTGACCAACAGCAGCAGCTTTGAGGGTTACATCGACTTGGGCCGAGAGCTCTCCACACTGCATGCCTTGCTCTGGGAGGTGCTACCCCAGCTCAGCAAGGTCAGCAGATGCCCCTTTGCCCCATCCCCAGATGTCTCCAGAGGCTCCTGTGGCCTGAGGGACCACCCCCTCCATACATTTTTCTCCCTGCCCTGTCCTCCTACGTATCACCACCACTCCCCCAGCTCAGACACCCTCCGCCTGCACTCTCTGAGGCCCTCTTAGAGCTGGTCACGTAGCCCCCAGGTAACAGCCTCACCCTTCCAGGAAGCCCTCCTGAAGCTGGGCCCGCTGCCCCGGCTCCTCAATGACATCAGCACAGCTCTGAGGAACCCCAACATCCAAAGGCAGCCAAGCCGCCAGAGCGAGCGGCCCCGGCCTCAGCCTGTGGTGCTGCGGGGTCCGTCAGCCGAGATGCAGGGCTACATGATGCGGGACCTCAACAGGTGAGCACCTGAGACCCCCACCCTTGTGCCCCAGAAACCCCTCCTTTTCTGTTCTGGATGCACTTCACTGGACATCATTCTAGGGCTTGAAAGAAAGGGAAGAACAGCAGGTTCTCAGAGAAAATGGTAAGGGGACAGGTACAGTCAGTGGTTAGGCTGAGAGTCCTTTAAAGCCAGAGGGAGCCCGAGGAGAAGTGTGGAGGCTCCTCCAGCTCCAGCTTGTTGTAAGCGTAGGGGTCTGGCTGTCCCAGAGCTGAGGTTCAGCCAGTGCATGCTGGATCAACAATGTGGTGTCAAAACATGCAAATATCTCTGTACTAGCTGGTAAATAGGCACCACCCCCAGCCTCCCACTAGAACCCCACAGACCTCGCCATGATCCAGCACTAGAGAAGTAACACCAAGACCCTAGTGGGCCTCCCGAGCCACAGCATACGTTCCGATACAATGGCGACGGGCCTCAGCTGCTGCTCACTGTTTGATGACCGCCCTGCTTGTTCCTCTGCCATCTCGCCCTCCATGATGCCATACCCATTCCACCATTCCCACCTCCCCTTCCATTCGCCCATGTCTTCTGCCCACTGCTCTCCTTCTCTCTCTGTGCTCGCCCCTCTTTCCATCTCTCTCCAGCTCCATCGACCTTCAGTCCTTCATGGCTCGAGGCCTCAACAGGTGAGGGGCTCTCCCCTCCCCAGCCCTCCTCTCCTGTCTGCTCCCCCTCTCCCACTCCAATGGCCTTCACCTTCCTCGAACTCTCCTCTTCTCCTCCATGCACCCTCATCTCCTCCATATCTGCCCAGACCTGCCCCTCATCCCCGCTCCTGCTGCCCACATCTCCCCTCCTCTAGGCCTCCCTCCCTTCCTGGCGGGGCCTTGTCCTTGCCTTCTGCCCACATGTCCCCTCCCATCCTCCCTGCCTGCCCTCTCCAGAGCTGCTGCCGCCAGCTCTCAGCCCTTCCCTGCAGGTCCCACTTTGCACCCTGAGGCCTGTGCCAGACCACAGCAGGCTGCATCACCAGCAGCCTTGGTCTTACCTCCTGCTTGTGTGCCCCCTTCCCTTCCCACAGCTCTATGGACATGGCTCGCCTCCCCTCCCCAACCAAGGAAAAGCCACCCCCACCGCCTCCTGGTGGGGGGAAAGACCTGTTCTATGTCAGCCGTCCGCCTCTGGCCCGCTCCTCGCCAGCATACTGCACGAGCAGCTCGGACATCACAGAGCCAGAGCAGAAGATGCTGAGTGTCAACAAGAGTGTCTCCATGCTGGATCTGCAGGGCGATGGGCCTGGCGGCCGCCTCAACAGCAGCAGTGTGTCCAATCTGGCGGCTGTTGGGGACCTGCTGCACTCGAGCCAGGCCTCCCTGACAGCGGCCCTGGGGCTGCGGCCTGCACCTGCTGGGCGCCTCTCCCAGGGGAGTGGCTCGTCCATCACTGCGGCTGGCATGCGCCTCAGCCAGATGGGCGTCACCACGGACGGTGTCCCTGCCCAGCAACTGCGCATCCCCCTCTCCTTCCAGAACCCTCTCTTCCATATGGCTGCTGATGGGCCAGGCCCCCCAGGAGGCCACGGAGCGGGTGCTGGCCACGGCCCACCTTCCTCCCATCACCACCATCACCACCACCACCACCACCGAGGTGGAGAGCCCCCAGGAGACACCTTCGCCCCATTCCATGGCTATAGCAAGAGTGAGGACCTCTCCTCAGGGGTCCCCAAGCCCCCCGCTGCTTCCATCCTTCACAGCCACAGCTACAGTGATGAGTTTGGACCCTCTGGCACTGACTTCACCCGTCGGCAGCTCTCACTCCAGGACAACCTGCAGCACATGCTGTCCCCTCCCCAGATCACCATTGGTCCCCAGAGGCCCGCCCCCTCAGGGCCTGGAGGTGGGAGTGGTGGTGGGGGCAGTGGTGGGGGTGGCGGGGGCCAGCCGCCTCCGTTGCAGAGGGGCAAGTCTCAGCAGTTGACAGTCAGCGCTGCCCAGAAACCCCGGCCATCCAGCGGGAATCTATTGCAGTCACCGGAGCCGAGTTACGGCCCTGCCCGTCCACGGCAACAGAGCCTCAGCAAGGAGGGCAGCATTGGGGGCAGCGGGGGCAGCGGTGGCGGAGGGGGTGGGGGGCTCAAGCCCTCCATCACCAAGCAGGTAGGTGAGGGTGGGAGGAAGGCCGGATGGGTGAAGAGCAGGGAGGGAAGGAAATGGGTTGGAGAAGTGGGGGTAGAATAGTCTGTGGTGTGAAGTTCCTCACAGTTTTCTCACCTCCTTTCATTCATTAAACAAATGTGTATAGAGTGCCCGCTCTGTGCCATGTGCTGTCTGGCACTGTGGATTCGGCAGTGAACAACAGACACAAATCCCTGCCCTCACGGAGCTCACGTTCAGAGGGGAGACATGATAAATAACGCACATAGCATTCCCGAGGTGACCAGTGCCAGAGCAGGGGAACAGGGTGGGGACTGTCAGCTCTTCTGGCAGTGCTCTCCCTCTCAGTGCACCCTGCCTTCTCCCACCTTCCCTCTCTCTGCCCCCACCTTGCCTCATCCCAGCACTCTCAGACGCCATCCACGCTGAACCCCACGATGCCAGCCTCCGAGCGGACGGTGGCCTGGGTCTCCAATATGCCTCACCTGTCAGCTGACATCGAGAGTGCCCACATTGAGCGGGAAGAGTACAAGCTGAAGGAGTACTCAAAGTCGATGGATGAGAGCCGGCTGGACAGGGTACGCTGGCCCCACCAGCCCCATGCCCACCTTGCCCTTTCCCCACTGGGGAGGCCTCTAGTCATTGCCAAGGGAGGCATCCAGGGTCAGGTAGTTATGATGGAAAGAAAAGACAAAGACCTGCTCCCCTCTCTTGAGAAGCCTTCAGTCTATTAGGGGAGACCAGATATAATCAGTCTGTTGAAAAGCCAATTTCAACTCTATTTTGTGGGTTGTACACATCGTAGACCACGTGGGGAAAACATGTTCTATCTCAGGTTTACCTCCATGTTCTTCCCCAGGGAGAACGGAAGCCCTGGCTCTCAGGACTGCTCGGGAAAGGAAAGTTATTTTACCAGCAGTGTGAGCTGATAAATTGGGCAGGGGCAGAGGGGTTGCATTATGCTTACCCAGTCACTGTCCCATGGGCATTGGTGACAGAGGGTCGGTGTTGGGATGTGGTATGTATTGACCCAGGTGTGGAAAGACCATCCAGACTCTCAGCTGGTGGTGGACCAGAGCAAAAAACAGCAAGAGTGCTGGGGCACACACAGATAACTTAGCAGAAAGTTCCTTAGGGAAGCCGTTGCTCCCAGGACCCTGAAGAAGAGGGTGGCGGCAAGATTAGGTTATATGTGAAGAATGTAATGACTCCAGTTTGGGGGAGCAGAGAGGTTTCCTGGGGGAAGTGGTCTTTGAGCATAGGAAAATTTGGGGACTGATTAGATGGGTTTGGTCCAGCAAATTCCATGAGAATTAAGCCTTGATGCTCCAACGGAGCCATCGTAGGTAATGAATTAACATCCTTTATGTCTAGAATGGGGTTGGTTATGTATGTACCCTCTTTGGAGAATGAGAAAGGCCTCTCAGATCATTTATTCTGTTCTGTGCTTCAGATGAGGAGTCCTTGTTGAGGAAGGCTGTAGACTAGTACTGTCCAGTAGAACTTTCTGCAGTGATGGCAATGTTCTCTAATCTGCACTGACCAGTACGGTAGCCACTGGCCACATGTGGCTGGTACAATTAACTGAATTTTTAGTTTTATTTATTTATTTTGGTGAGGAAGATTGGCTCTGAGCTAACATCTGTTGTCAATCTTCCTTTTTTTTTTCTCCTCAAAGCCCCAGTATATAGCTGTATATCCTAGCTGTAAGTCCTTCTAGTTCTTCTATGTGAGATGCTGCCATAGCATGACTTGATGAGCAGTGTGTAGGTCTGTGTCCAGGATCCAAACTGGTGAACCCCTGGCAGCCAAAGCGGAGCATGTGAACTTAACCACTATGCCACCAGGTCGGCCCCAGTTTTATTTAAATTTTAAGTAGCCATATTTAAGTAGCTAATGGCTACTGTGTTGGATTGGTTGGCACAGCTCTCAACTCTAGAGCTAACAGGGCAGATAAAATGAGTCTTCTGAGCCCTCCCAGCCCCCGTATTCAGGGTCGTTATCCACAGAGGGGCAGTGCTGGATTCTCAGCCTGGACTCACTTGAAGCCCAGATGCCGTGTCCCCAGGACAGAGCCTTTCCTCTCCCTAGCCAACGTCTTTTCCTCCTGGTCTCCCCAGTGTGCTCTGGGGCCTGGGTTGGGGCTGAGGAATCACCTTAGCTTTAATTTTGGGGTACAGTCACTCAAGGTGTGTCCGTGAGTCTCCCTAGGTTCCCGTGTGGGTCCTCATGTGTCCAGACACACAGGTGAGGACATGTATATACCTCTCGGGGTGTAGGGGTCTATCACCTCGCTCCATCTTGAGGGAGCCTCAGCTCCATGGAAGGGCCTTCTCAAAAGCGAGCGTGTGTATGATCAACAGGCAGGGGACAGGCTGGAGAAGGCAGCTGGGATATCCCGCGCAAGGCAGTGGCTGTGCCTGGCAGGCAGGGAGGGAGGCTGGGTGGTGGGCTCAGGGCAAGGCGCCCCTCACAGTGCGGGGTCGTGTGCCCGGCGGGCAGGTGAAGGAGTACGAGGAGGAGATCCACTCACTGAAGGAGCGGCTGCACATGTCTAACCGGAAGCTGGAAGAGTATGAGCGGAGGCTGCTGTCCCAGGAAGAACAGACCAGTAAAATCCTGATGCAGTATCAGGCCCGGCTAGAGCAGAGCGAGAAGAGGCTGAGGCAGCAGCAGGTGGAGAAGGACTCGCAGATCAAGAGCATCATTGGCAGGTGAGGAGCGGCCCGGGGAGGGGTAGCAAGGGAGAACCTGAGGCTGAGGAGACCCAGGGAGCTCCCCCTCCAGCTGCCAGCCCCCAACTCAGGACGCCGTGAGGAAAACCCACCATCCTACTCCCACGGGTGCCACCGCTTACCCACCACCAGAAGGGAGAAACCTCTTGCTTAGTGCACTAAATGTCCATTTACCAACTCTGACCTCGCTCCTGATAGACTAACTTCTGAAGCCCTTGGAAAATGTGCCTGTTACTGTCCAGCCATCACTGTGTGTCTGCACCCAGCCTAGGCTGGGACTACTCACTGGTTATTCTCAACCCAGCCTGGGATGTTCCCCCAAACCTAGGCAGGGGTGCCTAGCCAGAGGAGCTCCTGACCATCCCCATCCTGGCCAGACCCTCCCTCTCCAGCCTTGGAAAGGTGTTCCGTTAGAAAATAAGTAACCCCTGTTTCATAAAGCCTGTGCACGCTTTCAATTGCTCTGCCAAGCAAGGGGGTCAGTTATCTTGAGGACTGGGCAGGACCCCGGGCCCCACTCCAACCAGAGCCAGCTCCATTTCGATCCAGTCTAAAAGTATTTTTGAGTACAATTAATTAGAAGAAAAAGGCTTGACTTGAAACTTTTTTTGAAAACGACTGCTCTCCTTCATATCCTTTATGAGAAATCACCTTGAGAATCTCTATCAAAGGCAGGGAGACGCTGGGAATAATAGTGATTGCAGAGATCCCTCTTGGGCGAGGTGTCAGGTCTTCAGCCACAGAAGGTCTGTGGGGGGGCACTGGCCTGAATGGAGGGTGGAGGGCCGGGGGGGTCTGGGTGGTAGAGCGCTCTGAGGCCCAGAAAGCTGTCCTTAGCAGGGAGATGTGAGGGACCCTGAGAAGAAGGTGAGTAATGGAGTCTTTTGGGTGGAGAGGGACTGAGGGAGAGGGGAGAAGGATGCCTGAGGCTTTTCCAGAGAGGTGCAGGGGTTCCCTGAGATCAGAAGTTACATGGGCAGGTTCCGAGCCCGTGCCCGCCACTAACCCCACTGAAGCCCGTCCCTTCAGGCTGATGCTGGTGGAGGAGGAGCTGCGCCGGGACCACCCCGCCATGGCTGAGCCGCTGCCTGAACCCAAGAAGAGGCTGCTCGACGCTCAGGTGGAAATTACAATGTCATTTATCTTCTCCGTGTCCCATCCCCATCCATCCCACTGTCCTTCGTGCACTCACTGCACCAGCCAGCCCAGCCCCATCGCCATCCGTCTCTCCCACTGTCTTCCGTTTGTCCACTGGCTGCTCCTGGCAGCCCCTCAGTGACCCCATCTTCATCCCATCGTCTGTGCCTTTGTCACTCCTGGCAGCGTCAGCCCCACCCCCGTGCCTTCCCACCCTGTCTTTCCCACTCCTGTCTGCGTCTCAGGATCTCTTCCAGAACCTCAGTCTCTCTGCCCCTAGACCCTATCCAGTTCCCGGGTCCCCTGCCCCTTCTGTGCCTGCTCCTGTTCAAGTCGGAGTTCAGCTTCCTCTGAGCTCTTCTTGGGCTGGGAGGGCTGGAGGCTGCACTTTGCTAGAACAGAGCACAGGGCAGTATGAGTTCTAGTTTCCCCAGGCTCTGGACGGTGCCCTGGGGAGTTGGGGTCCCCATCACCTCTGTTCTCTTGGCTCCCCAGTTTTCCTGACTCCTTGGCAGCTCCCGCAGAGCTTCCTGTTCCTGACTCTTCAGATCTTGAAGGCCTCCCCCGCAGGCTCTCCTTTCCCTCAGTGTTTAAGTCTAGCCTCCTTTGGTCTCTCTCCCTCTGGTCCTCACACCTGACTGGCTTTCCAGCTCTCTGCTGCCCTCCTTCTCTTCTCACCAGCCAGCTTTCAGGACCTCCCTCCTGTGCCCTTACCCCTTGCTGTCTCCAAATTCTGCTCACTTTCCCTCCCATGCTCCTCCTTCCTCTGCTCTGACCGCCAGGCTTCCCCACCACCACCACCAAGGCTCCTGACCCCATGACCCCACTCTCTCCCCCTGCAGCTCCTCATCAGGTAATTCTCCTGGTTCCGCTTTGACCACGGGCGGAGGACACAGGGGGAGGTGACTCCGGACCACTGCAGGTTGGTCATGAAGCCCACTCCCCTCCGACTCTCCAGAGCCTCTCCCCCCTCACTGCTGCCCTCCACACCCGACATCCTCCACAGACCCTACCATCCTGACACCTCCCGCACAGACCCACCTCCCAAGGCACTGCCCCAAGAGAGCCCTTCCCGCTGCCTCCCCGCACTCTTAGTGATACCTTTCCAGCGCCAAGCACTCACCCCTAGACAGGCCCAGCCCCAGCGCATCCCCAGATCACACTCCCTTCCTACACGCCCTCCCCAGCCTCCTCCTGACTCAGTCCTCCTCCTCTACCTCTCCAGTGTATGTCTGTCACCCCCCATTTCACCAGAGCGTCCTTGGGGGTTGGGATGTTGGGGGTGGGGTTTGTTAAAGGGGTGGCGGTGATGATGGGTTGGGGGACCCTGGCTAGAGGGGCTGTACTGACTGCAGCAGGTAGGTTGGGGGTTCCCTTCCTTCCCTAACCTTGGTTCTCTGCCCCTCCTCCTTCCACCCCCACCTGTTTCTCTTCCTCCTCCCTTACATCTATGAGGTAGAAGGCATCAGGGGCTCCTAGTCGGCCCCACTGGGTGAGAACTAAGAGTGGGTAGGTAACTCATGGAGACTTTGCAGGGCCCTGGAAGGAATGCTGTTCAGATGTTGGGACAGTAGGCAGGGTGAGTAAAGCAAGGAGCAAGAAAGGAGCCTTGACAGATGTTAGGACGTGGACTGGCCCATGTGGCGTGGGAGTTGGCAGTGGGGTGAGGCGTCTTCCTAAGTAACATCATGGGCTCAGGAGCCATGTTGATTCCCAGGCAGAGATGCCAGGGACCGCATGTTAAATAAATCTTTCTTCTTGTCAGAGCTCACATCCTGGGGTTGTGAATGCCACTCACTCCCCCTCTCCCACCACCCAGTGGCCTTGCCGGACACATAATCCTACCTAAAAAGCCAGTAAATGGGAACCTGTCAGCCACCGACATCATTTCTGAGTTGCTTTATTTTCTGTGGGATTGATCTGCAGTGGGCAGTGGCTCCTCACACTGTAATTTTAACTCTGCCTGGCCAGCCTCTCTGTCAAAGTAGTTAGTGATCTGTAAGCAGATGCTAAAAGGCACCAGGGGACCTCACCATTTAAAGGACTCCTGCAGTGACTTCTTTTGTAAAATGAATAATGGCACCCTAATTTATCTACTTTCTAAATTTGGGTCCATGGGGGTGTAGGGGGCATGCCTATGTGCTGTCACCAGCAGACAAGCAGAGGGAAGGGAATCTGAGGTTTCCTGTCCCTGCCCTCCTGCCACACTCAGGATCCCCCACCACACGCAGTTTCCTCTTTTGCTGACTTGTGGAGTGTGGGATATGCTCAGCAAGCTAAGAGGGCAGCTCTGCTTAAGACCGGGGTTTTGGTGACCTTCTGAGAGGTGGGCTCTGTGGTTGGGAAGGGAGAGCTGGTTTGGGAGCCTCTACTTGGAACATGTTTGTTTCCTTTAGAGCTATGGTCACACATAACTAGGTTGCCCAGGCCTAAATGCCCTGTGGCCCAGGAAATAAATTTGGACACTTTTTCTAAACCACTTTTAGGTACTGGTCCCTCTGCAACTCAGCCATTAATTTAAAAATTAATTTGGTACCTCTATTTTAAAAAGCCAAGTGAGCGACCAGAAGTGTAGTACAGATGGCTTTCTTCTCCTCTCCCAGCAGAGGAACAGAAGCCAGAGCTGAGGGCAGGAGCCAGGAGTTGGTCCAGGAGCGGTAGGGGGTGACAGAATAGGCCCAGGGGTGGGAGTAGGGTCTGGTACCCCTGGCTCTCTAAGTGGGAGCCCAGGGAGAGGGACTGAAAGGAATGTGGGGGTGGAAAGGAATGAAGCGTTTCTGCTTCCTGGGGATGCAGAGATTGGGGCATGCTGTGTCTCTGCAGAAGCTCCTGGTCGTTTCTGCCTCTGCTGTTAGCATGAGGCAGCCCTCCCACAGTATTTGTACCTTCCCACATCACCTCCCTGAATCCCCTTCCTTTCCCCCCCCAGTACAGTTAAACCTCTCTAATTTGGAATGTTATATTTGAGAAGATGGCCACTCTGAATAAGTGACAAAAGTGAATGACAGTGTCTATTTAATGAAATGCATGTCTTCAAAATATATACAGTAAGTAGAACTCGATGAACAAGGCTTTTCCACTCCAGGCCCTCAGGGAGCATGCGTTAATGAACAGATAGGATTGAAAAGTCTGTTTTCTAGTACAGCTTAACTATTCCCTCCCACAGGCACATTTCCACTATTAATTTGCTTAGCACACCCTTTCTTCATAGATAAAGGAAAACTCAAGCCCAGTTTTTGTTCAAATTATGAAAAATTTCCAAATCCACGGGGGTTTGGATTAATGAGGTTTTGCTGTACTGCCTCCCCTTGTTCCCTCAACACAAAGCTCCTACCTTGGATTGGAGGTGGGCTGAGAGGGGTTCCAAGAGGAGGGTGGGCTGGGCAGGGCAAAATAACAAGGGTGAGGTTGGGGGTGAGGTGGGAACTTGCTTCTTTTGAACTGGTTTCCTGGTGTGAGTGACTCCCTGGGTTGAAGGAAGGCCCCTGTTAGGAGTCTGGGGTGAGATTCTCCTCTCTCTGATCCCAGAAGATGTAACTTCTACTGCAGGTGAGAGATACAAGAGGAGGATGGGGGAAGGGTGCTTCCGGGGAAGTGGGTGGACATGGTTTATGGAGGGGGCTGGTTATGGGGGAGGCCACTACTAGGGGACTGGCACCCAGGCCCCCGCGAAGCGTCTCAATAAGTCCGCGCTCTCCTCTTTGGTGTCTTGCAGGAGAGGCAGCTTCCCCCCTTGGGTCCAACAAACCCGCGTGTGACGCTGGCCCCACCTTGGAACGGCCTGGCCCCCCCAGCCCCGCCCCCCCCACCCCGGCTGCAGATCACCGAGAACGGCGAGTTCCGAAACACCGCAGACCACTAGCCCACCCAGCATCACAGACCTTCTTCCCCTCCCCATGCACCCCACCCTGGAACAGCACCAACCACCAGGACTGGACGTCGCCGAGGGACAGCGGGATTGCCTCCCTAAATGCCTCCTTGGGGGGCACCAATCCCCCACCCCCACCGCACCATTTCCAGGAGGGAGAGTGGGGACCCTTAGCTGCCCCCTTTTCCTTCCTGTTGGGGTGCTGCCCCCTGTGACCCCCAGGGACCCTTGCCCCAGGACACCACCTACCCCACACAGACCCCTTCACTCCGGGGTGCTATCCCCATCCTCTGCCTCATCGTTCCCCTGAGCACTGGGGGACAGACCCTCGCCCCCACCCTGGGGGTGCGGCACCTCCAAACTTTCAACTTCAGGGTGATTTTTTAGCAGTAACCAGAGCTGACAATCTAACTCCCCTCCACCGCCCCATTTTGGCCTCCCCTGTCCCCCTTGTTATGGGGAGGGGACCCCGGGTGAGGGGGCCCTATTACCCCTTGATTTCTCAGGAGCGTCTGGGGGGGCTCAGCACGCACAAACTCCTTCTCCTCCTACCACTCTTAAATTTACTCCCTCCCCACCCAGAACCCAGATGGGGTGGAGGGGCCACCGGGGCAGGGAGGGGGCGGCAAGGGGGGAATGGGAGTTGTCTCCCCTTCCTCCCACACCTGATCTGCTCTTGGCTGGTCCCAGAGCGGGGTGAGGGGGCTTATGCCCCCCCCTCCCCCAGTGTGTTGGGTGGGGTGGAATTGAGGTTAGGGTGAAGGGTTAGGGTTTAGGAGGGTGTGTATGTTGGGGAGGACAGACTAGTTGATCTGCCCTACCCTAACACATACAGTCCCCCCTGCCCCTCCCCTCTCTCTTCTTGGTCTCTACTCCCAGGGGGAGGGGGGAACTTACTCTAGGAAAAGCCATGTCTCTCTCCCCCAGGGTGGGGGGACCTGTGTTGGGGGGGGGGGGGTTGGGGGCCCCCTTCCATGACTCTGTCCCCCTGGGGGGAGGCAGGACAGGGCTGGGCTTCCCTCTCATCCTCCCCCCCTCCCCAATCTCCCTCCACCTCCCTCCTTCCCTCCCGCCAGCTCCACAATTTTTCGGTGTTTCTCTGTATATAGCTCTCTGGCGGGATAGGGGAGGTAGGATGGATGGGGTTTGGGGTGGGTAGGTCATGGGAGGGGTGAAGCCCCTCCTTGGCACCCCCTCTTCCCTGACTGCTGTCCCCTACCCAGCCTTGCCCCCTCATCCCTTCTTGCGTTTGGTATTGAGACTCTGTTCCCAGACTCCACCCTTCTTTCTTTTGTATGGACAGTTCCCCTTCAGTCCCATTCCCCTACACACATACACCCAGCCGGGGCCAAGTTTATACTTATATAAAAGTTGTAAATATGTGATATTTTATCCCTGTGCCCTTTCCTTGCTTTCCCAACCCCAGACCCTACCCCTGAACCCCCTCCCTCCTCTCTTCTTTGGCTGTTGTAATTATCTGGGATTTGTACTGTACATATCCGGGGTGTGTGTGTGGGGGCTGGGGGCAACCCCTCTGTACAGAGCTTCCTGGCCCCCTCCCCTCCACGCTTCCCTCTCTCCCACCCCCCTAAGGGTAGGGAGATGCTCTTCCTACCTGTTTTATTTTGTTTTCTCGTTCTCCCTCCCCACCCCACCCCACTCCCAGCCTTCTCTATCCCCCCTCACTGTCCCTTTTTCTCCACTCCCAGCCCCATTTCCTTTTTTTCTGGAGTGTGTGGTGAAACAGAAAAATCATGTTTAATAAACGGAGATTGTTCTTTTATCGCTGTGCTGACTTTCCTAGGCTGGGATCTCCAGGGAGACCAGCAGGGTGATAGGATCTGCCTTTTGAGAGGAGGCTGACAGCCTGGGAGAAACTATATCCCTGCGTGATGCCATAGTCTCCCCCTAGAATCTCTCTCCCCGACCCAGTCAGGAGATTCACTCCGTTTTTGACCAGGGGTTTTGCAGTGGCCAAACGTACCCAGTCTAGCTCTTCCCTCACCACTGCTCCACTTAACCCGAGGGAGAAAAGAGTCAAGAAGCAAGCACCAGCATCTGATAAAAGATTCCAAGTATATTTATATGTATCTTAACAACAAAAGAAATTACCTAGAAATAGGGTTGGTTTAATTGCTGGTTAAAATGCTCCCGTGCGGAATGGAGGAAAGAACCTGGTTCCAGTCGCAGGCCGACCACTCGCCAGACTCGGTGTCCCCCGAGGAAACAAGATGGCAACACCTACCTCGCGGGGCGGGGGGAGGACACAGGGTGCTGTGGACAACGCCTAGCCCACACAGCAGGTGCCCACTTAATCTCGTTCTTTCGGCACCTACCGGGGGACGGGAGCTACGTTTACTCGCCGCGGTGACTCCCGCGTCACTGACTCCGTCCGGGCTGCGCTCTCCAGAGCCGCCCTCCCCACTCCCGCAGGGACGACCACCCCACGCGGCGCCGCGGGGGCCCGCGGCCTCTTGCCAGCACCGCCCCCTCACCCGCGCAGCCAATCAACACGAGGCTTGTAGGCCGCCGCCCTCCGATTGGCTGCGGCCCTGGCCCCGCCCACCGCGCCCGGCGTCGGCGTCCGGCGAGGAGGCGGCGGCTTCCGGCCCAGGACAGCGCGGCAGCTGTGGAGGCGTTCGGGGTCTGCCGGGTGAGTACTGGCGGGGTCGTGGCAGCGGGCTGGGTCGGTCAGGGCCGGCGAGCTCAGGCTCGTGGCTGAAGCGCTTCGTCCTCCGCGGTCCTGGAAGTGAAACCCCGGTTGGTGTCTTGTGGGCAGTTTTTGTTTTCTCGGTGGAGGAGTGCGCGGGACCGATCGGCAGAAACCACCGCTGGCCGAACAGTTTCCGCGTGCCGGGGGGTGGGGGAGGCGGGTGGAGTGCGAGGAGACCTGGTCCCTCTTAGCCGGAGCTTCTGTGACCCCATCTGTTTCCTCCGCAGCCTTCAGTCTTGCCCCGGCCCCTCGTCTCCTGTGCTCGATCCTCCGGAGGCTCTCTTTCCGAGGAGGCCATGGATACCTCGACGCCCTTGCCTCCCGTAGCCCCCTCCCCGAACTTCAGCCCAGCCCCACGGACGATCCAGATCGAGTTCCCTCAGCACAGCTCGTTGCTGCTGGAAGCCCTGAACCGCCACAGGCTCGAGGGAAAGTTCTGCGACGTGTCCCTCCTGGTGCAGGGCCGGGAACTTAGGGCTCACAAAGCCGTGTTGGCCGCGGCCTCTCCTTACTTCCATGACAAACTGCTTCTGAGGGACGCGCCACGGCTCACTCTGCCCAGCGTCATTGAAGCGGATGCTTTCGAGGGGCTGCTCCAGCTCATTTATTCAGGGCGCCTCCGCCTGCCGCTGGATGCTCTCCCTGCTCACCTCCTTGTGGCCAGTGGGCTCCAGATGTGGCAAGTAGTAGATCAGTGCTCAGAGATTCTTAGAGACCTAGAAACCTCAGGTGGCGGACTTTCAACCCCTGGATCGACCGCTTGCCACACGCTTCTTTCCACCACATCCTCTCCAGGAGGCTGGTGCATAAGCTCTTCCTCTTTCCAGACCGAGGTGCAGTCGTCCACTTCTACACAGAGTCTTGTTGGAGGGGAGGGGAGTGAACTGGAAGATGTGTTACAGATTCAAATTGAGGAAGAGGAGGAGGAGGACCAGGGGTCAGCAGCACCCTCTCAGACTCCTCAATCTCAGAGAGCGTCAGGGGATTTTCCTCGCCCTCATGGATCCCAGCCACTGCCCGTGTCCTCTACTCCCCGCAGGCTTCCAGAGGGGGAGAGTGCACCACTTGAGCCTCCTGCCCCTCAGACTGCACGGCCTCTCAAAATCTTCTACATTAAGCAGGAGCCCTTTGAGCCTAAGGAGGAGAAATCAGGAGGTGGAACTCAGTCTGGAGCAGCAGAGGAGGAGACCAAAGTGTTTGCTGGAGGGGACTCAGAGGGGAATGGAGAGCTAGCGTTCTTGCTGCCGTCAGGAGCAGGGGCAGCGTCTGGAGGAGCGGGCTCGTCAGGGAAACCAGTGGATCTTCACGGGAATGAAATCGTGTCAGGAAGTGGGGGACCTGGAGGAGCAGGGCAGGCTGTGCACGGGCCTGTGAAGCTTGGAGGGGCACCCCCTGCCGATGGGAAACGCTTTGGTTGCTTGTGTGGGAAGCGGTTTGCAGTGAAGCCGAAGCGTGACCGGCACATCATGCTGACCTTCAGCCTTCGACCCTTTGGCTGTGGCATCTGCAACAAGCGCTTCAAGCTGAAGCACCATCTGACAGAGCATATGAAGACCCATGCAGGAGCCCTGCATGCCTGTCCCCACTGTGGCCGTCAGTTCCGAGTCCATGCCTATTTCCTTCGCCACCAGGACCTGTGCAAGGGCCAGGGCTGGGCCACTGCTCACTGGACTTACGAATGACTGCGGAAGCCAAATACTAACTTCCAGTCCGAGAGCGCCACTGTTGCTGACGGAGTCTTACCCTCACTCCCACACACCTCCATGCTGGATCTTGTAATCAGGCCAAGAGAATAGATACGTTGTAGACCTCTTTTTCTTGGGTGTGGGCCTCAACCTCACAGATCTGGAAATTCAGATTTCTCGTCTCACCCAAGGTTTTTACTAATAATCCTACAGGAAAGTGGTTTATGGGCTATATGTAAATTGATCACTTGCCCATAATAGACCTTCTTTTCATACAGGAAACCTGATTTCAGGTTAGAAGTTTATTTGATGAGAGAAGAGTTAGAAGAAAAAGACATGATCATCAGTGTTTGATTCAGTGTCCACGAGGAGGTCAAGGAGCTGGTCTCCATCTCGAGATACGTTTGACTCAGAGTTTGAGTAATTTAGAGACCAAGCTCTAAGGTTGCCGCCCCCTCATCACTGCTGAGATGATGCGAACAGAGTTCTCTTTATGTACTTTCTTATGTTATATCTTTCCAGACATCCCTCAGATCATAACTTGCTTTCTTACAGTAGGTACCTTCCCAGCACCTGTATTTTTTATGTTGTAGTTGAGCACGTTAACAAATCAAGCATTCCACGTGTCATTCCGAGCGCCCTCCTGAGTAGAGAGTGTGCCCTCGGCAGCCGGTGCCTCTTGTCTACCTTTGACCACCAGTCATCACTCGTGTTGATCATAGTGATTGGAATGTGACCAGTGAACTCAGGAGATGACAACTGACCTGAAATGCTCTCAGGGCAACACCACTGCTCTGAAAAAGTGGCCTTGGTCACAGGGACTCAGGGCTGAGATGGGGCGTGCTGAAGGGTGGAGAGTAACTGTGCAGTGGGACAACACCCCCTCCCCCTCCCCCCACCCACACAGGACAGCCCCTTGGTTGAGAGGTAGAAGGGTAGATATTGGGATGGGGAGTTTGTCACAGGTTACTTAATTTCTTCAAATAAACTTTGTCCTGAAACCCAAGCTGACAGTGGACTGAGGAGTAATTTATGTGGGAGAGACAACCTGAGAACAGAATTGCGAAGACTTGGATGCGATCTGTATGCAGCTGGGCCATGTTGATGGGGGGAGAGTGGGATAGTTTCACACCATGCAGAGAACACTGTCCGGGACTTCAGTGGGCCGGATTCTAGGCCCTGACCTGCCAATGAGTAACCTCTGGTGTGTTACCTTATCTTTCAGAGTCAACTGTCACTTTTTGTGTGTATGTGTTGGAGGGGGAAGGTGATAGGTACCTTTAACTGGTTCTCTGTCTTTTTTTTTAAAGGGATTGGTTCCGCTGACCTTTACCTGTAATACTCCCTGGCTTCGTGTATTATGTGTAACGTTTGGTCTGTTCTACAAACATTTAATGCAAAGCCTTGTACTGGACCCTCACTTACATTCTGCCCTCAAAGATTTCACAGCTACTACCAAAGCTAGACAAGTAATGATGATGTGGTGTGATAAGTCCATGGTAGTGGGCAGGACAAGCTGCTGTAGTGGCACAAAGGAAGCCCAGCAAAGACCTATTATAGGTCAGCAGAAGTTTCACAAAGGACTCCACATGCCAGAGTATGGCAGTGGGTGTGGGTGGCTGAACTGATGTGGAAACATGCATTGAAGTCACAACTACAGGGCCAGGAGTGATAGCCTTCCCCAAAGCATGTTCCTCAAAAGTTGTTAGTTCTGGCACCCAGAAGGGGCTGAAAAGTGTGACTTTATGGTTGAGAAGGTGGATTCTAGCTGGGATGTGTCAGCCTCTCTAAAGAGCCATGCCATGGTACCATCCCCATGGTAGGGACTGAGAACACATTGGGAAAGGGGTCAGAGGGGACTGCCAATCTTGGATCTACTAAAAGCCTACCCCCCTGCCATTCTTTGGCACACGTTCTGTAGGTGGCTGTATCCATTGGCCAGGATCCTTTGTTTGCAAGCAATGGAAGCTGGCTCTGACTAACCTTATCAAAACAAGACTCTGTAGAAGGATGTGGGGTGGCTCCTGGAACGGAAGGAAGAGCTGAAGGACCAGCCTTTGGAAGGACAAGGCCCAGGTCAGCTCAGGGCTCCAGGAAGCAGGAACTCTTAAGGGATCTTTTCAGGTCGTATATTTTGGGATGATGACCCAGTCATTTTTATTTCTTGTGTCACTCATCTCAAGATGAAATTTTCTGGGAGAGAACTCAGCCTCAGTCCGCCCTCTGGCCAGAGCACCTTGGTCATATGTTCCATTAAGGCAAAAAAGTAGACATGGAATCCTCAAGGGGAAATTGAAGTCCTGGGACAGAAGAGTGGGGAATGGGTGCTGGCCAGCCCACAGCAACAGAGGCCCACCCCAGACAATCTCCACGTGTTGCCCATCTTGGGATCCTTAAAGCCTCAGATATACCTGGCACTTAATAGGTGTTCAAGAAACGTTGAACCTGCCCAACTTCCATCTGTGCCCGCTGAACTTAAGGCAGAATTGCTTCTCCTCTCTCCTTAATCCCCACAGCACTTCATTACTACATCTATAATACCTATTAAAACATCGTGTCAGGGGCCAGCCCATGACCAAGTGGTTAAGTCCACACGCTCTGCTTCAGCGGCCCGGGGTTTCGCTGGTTCAGATCCTGGGCACGGACCCAGCACCGCTCATCAGACCACGCTGAGGCAGCGTCCCACATGCCACAACCAGAGGCAGTCACAACTAGAATATACACGAAGTATGGGAGGCTTTGGGGAGAAGAAGAAAGAAGAGGGAAAAAAAAAGATTGGCAAGCGATGTTAGCTCAGGTGCAGATCTTTAAAAAAAACACACCATGTTAGAGGTTTTCTTTTTTTAAGTTACTGGGTATTATACAGAAAATAAGTTTCATGATGAAAGATTTGAGTTTAAACAAACTTAAACATGTACCTCTCTGCCTCTGTCCTTTCCTCCTTATAGTCAAAAAGGTGTCCCTCCTACTGTCCAAGGCTGGCCCCCTTCCCAGGGCCTTTGCTTTTTAAGTTATCCCCTCCATCCTGTATCTTCACCCTGTCTCTGGAGTTCCTCATTAGCATTTAATCATCTCATGGAGTTATGAGAATTAGTACATGTAAAATGCTTAGGACAGCGCCTTGCACTCTGTAAACTCAGTAAACATTAGCTGTTATTACGATTGAGAACGTTAGTCAACTCCCCACACCTTCACTGGGTTCAGTTCTCAGGTAGGGATCACATACGTGAAGGGAAAACATTTTCACGTAACAGGGAAATGAGGCATACAGCGCTCAGCGAGGCTTAGATGTCATTGTTATGCCTTCCTCATAGATGCCGGAGTTCTTCAGGGCTCTTGCACCCTCCTTCTCTGTACACTGCTGGCTGATTTTTATCCACTCTGCTGAGTTAAACCATTTAAATACTGATGACCCTTAATGTTGTATCTCGTTTTCCTGACCCCCAGACCCACCTAGATTTCTTCCTTTCTTTCCTTCCTGCAACAATAAGTGCCTGCTGTGTATCAGACACTGATGAAGAAAGGGGAAGGTATCAGAGGGGCTTGGACCCTGGATTACCACTGTAAGAGACATGTTTAAACCAGCTATGTGAATACTTCATAGGCAGCTCAAGCTCAACATGTCTGAATGCTCTACCCCACCTCTAGCCATCTGCTCCTGTGTTGTTTCCAGTTTTAGTAATGGCTCCACCATCCACGCAAATGCCCAAGACTGGAACCTAGGAGTGTTCCTGGACACCTGTCTCACGTCCCACACTTGTCCTACCAATGCTGTCTCTCCTAGATGTTTCAAATTGATACATTCCTTCATTCGATACATTCCTTCATTCTCACTGCTGCTACTGTAACCTCCTAACATGTTGCTTTCTGTCTTGCTTCCCTGTAGATTTCACTCTACACACTATGGCCAGAGTGATGTTGCCAAAGGAAAAAGCACTGTTGCCAGCTCTCCACCTTAAACCTTTCATTTGCTTCCTCTTGCGCTTTCATGAAGTCCAAATGATCTGGTCCCAATTACTACAGTTTCGGCTCTTATTACTGTCTCCCCTAGGCCTCTGCTTTTTCTGCTCCTCATGCTCATCTCTCTACCAGGAATAGTTACCTAGAATAGTGTTACCTACCTAGAAATAGCCCTCAATGGACTAATTCCTACTCTCTTCAGATATCAACTTAAACACTCCCTCTAGAAATCTCCTGACCGTTAGGCCAGGTAGGACCTCAGCTGTGTGCTCTAGTGGCTCTTATTTCCCCCTATGATGAGACTTTCCTAGAATTTCCTTTATTCAAAAGTATTTGCCAACTATCCAGGATTACCCATTATATGTGGGTGCTGTTTTAGGCGTGGTGGATGTTGCTTGCCTTCATAATATCACATTCCAGTGCTGAAAAGGAAATAAACCAGGTAATAAGGTGGAGAGTAACAGAAAAGGAAAGCATACTGTACACATGATCTAGTATCCACAGGCAAAGAAGGACCCAGACATGCAAAGCAAGTGGGGAAGGGGGTTCCAGTAAAGCGATTCATTGGTGCAAAAGCCAGGAAAGAGAAAGAGGCTGGTATGCTTGACGAGGAGACCAGTGGACCTGGAGAGGAATGAGATGTCTCAGTCTGTTTGGGCTGCTATAACAGAGTACCATAGACCGACTGGCTTATAAACAGTGGAAATTGATTTCCCACCGTTCTGGAAGCTGAAAGTCCAAGATGAAGTGCCAGCAGATTCAGTGTCGTCAGGACCTGCTTCCTGATTCATAGATGGCCATCTTCTCGCCGTATCCTCACAAGGCGGGAAGAAAAAGGGAGCTGTCTGGGGTGTCTTCATAAGGGCACTAATCCTATTCAGGAGGGCTCCACCTTCATGACCTAATCACTTCCCCAAAGCCCCACCTCCTGATGCCATCACATTGTGGGGTAGGACCTCAGCATATGAATTTGGAGGGGACGGAAACATTCAGTCCATCGCAGATGTGACTGAAGAGGTAGGCTGGGCCTGGGTTATACAGAGCCTTTCAAAGAGTGATAAGAAAGTAGGATTTTATTCTAAATGCAGTGGGGAGGCAAAAGAGTTTAAACAGGGGAATGACGATCTTTTAATATTTTAAAGAGATTCTTCTAGCTACAGAGCAAATATTGGATCATTAGAGGGCCAGAGTGGAAGCAGGGAGACCAATTAGACTGTTTCAGTAGTGCGGATAAGAGACGGGTAAGATATGGAGAGAAGTAGATGGATTAAAGCTTTATGTGTGGAGGTAGGACCCACACAGGGCATTCTAACAGATTAATATAGAGATTGTGGGAAAGTAAAAAAATCAAGGAAGACCTCTAGAGTTTTGGCTTGAGCAATTGAATTAGAGGCCATTTAACAAGTGGAAGACAAGAAAAGAACTTAGGAGTGGATCAAGGGTTTTGTTTGAATGACTAGAAGCTATCCAGTGGGCAGCTGGATGTACTCATCCAGTGTTCTTCTAGACCAGGAGTTGGCAACCTTATTCTGTAAGGGATCGGACAGTATTAGGCTTTGCATGCCAAGAAGCGAAATCAAGGATACTATGTAAGTACGTAAAAATTAAAACAAATTTCCACAAATTTTTTTTTTAAAGATTGGCACCTGAGCTAACAACTGTTGCCAATCTTCTTTTTTTCCTTCTTCTCCCCAAAGCCCCCCAGTACAGAGTTGTATATTCTAGTTGTGAGTGCCTCTGGTTGTGTTATGTGGGACGCCGCCTCACCATGGCCTGATGAGCAGTGCCGTGTCCACGCCCAGGATCTGAACTGGCAAAACCCCGGGCCGCCAAAGCGGAGCACACGAACTTAACCACTCAGCCACAGGGCCAGCCCCTCCAGAAATTTTTTACTGACAAAATTCAAAATATAATAATTGAGTACAATTTTTTATAATACAGGTCTGCTGCTTAACTGAGGCTCAAAGTTAGTGCTCCCTATCATCCACATCAATTGCAAATGTTCACCTGTTAATGCTGATCTGTAATGAGATTTTACAGATTTCA